CCTGGGGCGAAATGGCTGGTCAGCACTGGGGTGGTTTTGCTTTTGCTGTTCATTGTGGTGCTAAAATTTACCATAATAGAAGACAAGTGATGAGAGCAGGGACCTGGGAGGGGAGGCAGGCAATGGGGAGCCTCATCTGGGAAAATCGGAGCTGTGAGAGGAGGGATGGGAACAGGACGGAGGTATGGGGGTGCCCAGCAAGGCTGGAAAAGCAGGAGAGGGGTGAGGTGGGCACAGGACACCCGTGGCAGCCACAGGACTGCTGGAGGCTACCTGTTAGACGTGGGGGCCACGATGAAGATGATGTGGCTGGTGGGACTCAAACCACGCCACAAGGATGATCTGCTTTCTGTAACGGCCAAGGAAACTTCTGCAGCGACCTTCCCTGTCCCGAATGCCTTCAGTCACCTCGAGACCCAAAGTACAGCCCAGCTTGGGGTAACTGGGCTCTGCAGGCAGCCAGCTGCCTGCTCCCCTGCCTGCTTAGGAGGAGTACATGAAACATCTTTAGGCTGTGCTACCTACACGGGTACAGCTGGCTGGCGAGCGGATGGTATGGCTCCGCAGCATCACGCCGGCTGCTTGAAGGTGGGGGCTCGGGGTAAGATGCTGAAATAAGGCAAAGCAGGGATTTGGTGGTGCAAAATCAGCGCTGGGTGAGGAGCGACACTGGGGAAATCAAAGCTGAGTTGGAGACAGAGCACGTGACAAGATGGGGGGAGCTGGCCAGGACAGACGGACGTAGGGGATGGGGAGAGGCTTGACAGGACACAGCTGGCATCTGCCAGAGCCTCCTTTCTTCCCTTGTGCCCACCTGCCTGTGTTTGACGTGGCAACTCTCCCAGTGATTCATTAACTCATTTTGGTGTGTCCAGATGAAAATGAAGCTGTGACATAATCAAAAGCCGTGTGTTGGAAAAGGTGACGTGGGTGCGTTGCCCTCCAAACGGACAGCAAAAGGCAGAACAGGGACTGGGGATTACACACTGGATTTAGGCAAAATGAAAATAAAGCAGAGTATATCAGAGATCTAGCAGCGTGGGGAACAAGCCTTTGGGGTAATGCTAGAGCAGAAGTCCATCATCATCGCTGGTCCTTGCAGACATCTTCCTGAAGCACAGGCGAGGCTTTGCAGGAATTGTACCCTCTGTAAAATGCATTTTGCAGGTGGCAGCAGTGATGGTCCCTGCAGGTTGGAAACCAAGGGCACTTCCACACCGCTCTCCCAGCTGGGAAGTGTTCATCCCCATCGGCCCCCACCCCGCCCAGGCATTGTACCAGCCCGGTCCTCCCTTTTCCTGTAGGTGGGGTTTCCATAGGAAACACGGCTGGTTCACCTCCCGGCCCCGGCCCGGCCGGACACTGCTCCCCGGTGAAGCTGCGGCGGTGGCAGTCCACTCCGCGCCGGGCTGAGCGTTTCAGCCTGGGGAGCAGATGGCTCTCCCGGCCATCCCCCGGTGATGGCAGGGTGGGGGACAACCGCTGGACTCAGTCGTGATTTCTCCTCCTTTCCAACCGGTGGCTGGCGCCTATGGGATTTGGAGATGGGAGAGGATGCCGAGGACTTGCGATCGCCGTAAGGACCGGTTGTGTATGCGGCGGCAGGCGAGCGAGCCTGGGGCTGCGTGCCGGGGCGGCGCAGTGGTGGGGTTTGCCAGCAGCATGCTGCTGCTGAGCCGCTCCGCTCTCCATCTCCCAGCTTTGTGGTGGTACCTCTTCCTCTCCACTGATGCCCAGGAGGTGGCCACGTTCACTGTGCAGTACCGGGTGTTCGAAGAAGTGCCGCCGGGAACGGTGATAGGGACACTGGCCGAGCACTTCGAGGGGGGCGAGAGCGGCGAACCAGCGGATACCTTCCAGCTGATGGAGACCCCTGGGAGGTTCCCGCTGCACGTGGGGAGCGCGGACGGGGTGCTCAGCACGGCCGGGCGGGTGGACAGGGAGCAGCTGTGCCGGCACAGCGATCCCTGCTGGGTCTCGTTCGACGTGCTGGCTGCCCGAAACCTGGCTCTCATTCACGTGGAGGTTCAAGTGCTGGACGTCAATGACAATGCACCGCGGTTCCCCACGCCCGAGCTGGAGCTGGAGATGTCGGAGAGTGCGTCCCTGCGGACGCGGATCCCACTGGACCGAGCCCTGGATGCCGACGCCGGCCCCAACGCCCACTGCTCCTATGCCCTCTCCCGCAGTGAGCACTTTGCTCTGGAGGTTGTCTCCAGCTCCGACGGGACGAGGCATGCGGAGCTCGTCGTGGTTAAAGAAGTGGACCGGGAGCTCCACTCCTCCTTCGACCTCGTGCTGACGGCCACTGATCATGGGGAGCCACCAAAATCAGGTACCGCTTTAATCAAAGTCATTGTCCTTGACTCCAATGATAACAGCCCCATCTTTGCAGAGAGCTCTTTGACAGTAGAGGTTCAGGAGGATGCTCTGCCCGGGACTCTCCTCGTGACGGTCACAGCCACCGACCCCGACCAGGGTCCCAATGGGGAGATCGAGTACAGCCTGAGCAAGCATGCACCCCCAGAGGTGCTCAGCGCTTTTGGCATCGATGCCCGCACAGGTAGCGTCATCCTGAAGCACCCACTGGACTATGAGGAAACCCACGCCTACGAGCTGGACGTGCAAGCCCGGGACCTGGGCGCCAACCCCATCCCAGCGCACTGCAAGATCCTGGTCAAAGTCCTGGATGTCAATGACAATGCTCCTGACGTCCACGTTACCTGGGCCACACGGGCACCTGTGCTCTCCGAAGCCCTCCCCAAAGACAGCTTCGTGGCTCTGGTGACGGCCAGCGACCCCGATTCAGGAAGCAATGGGCAAGTGCATTGCTCCCTCAGTCAAGGGTACGAGCACTTCAGGCTGAAGAGGACCAACAGCCACAGCTACGTGCTGATGACCAACGCCACGCTGGACAGGGAGCTGCGTGCCGAGTACAACCTGACGCTGGTGGTACGGGACCATGGAGACTTCTCCTTGGCTGTGCTGAAGCACCTCACTATCTGCATCAGCGACGTCAACGACAATGCCCCCTCCTTCGAGAAAGCCACCTACGAGGTTGCTGTTGCTGAGAACAGCGAAGCACCTGCCTTCTTGCTCACCATCCGTGCCACCGACCCTGACTTGGGTTTCAATGGGAAAATCACCTACAGCATCCCGGACTCCTCTGCTTCGGGTCTCATCTCGATCGACCCCACCACTGGGGATGTTTTTGCCCTCCAAGCTTTTGATTACGAGCAGGTGAGGAGCCTGGAGTTCCTGGTGACCGCAGAGGATGGTGGTCACCCCAAGCTGGCGTCCAACATCTCCATCAGGCTGGCTGTGCTCGACCGGAATGACAACGCACCCGTCATCACCACTCCGGCACTGGTGGGAGGCGCAGCCATGCTCTCCATCCTGGTCAATGCGGAGACGGGGTGCTTCTGGGTGGCACCTGGGAACGGGAGCACCCAAGGGACTGCAGCGGTGAGCAATGCAACACTCATGTCGTGTGCTGGCACTCCCTTCCTCTTCACCATCGTGGCCAGGGATGTGGACTCTGGCATGAATGGGGCTCTTCGGTATGATCTGGTGGGTGGGGATGACACCGGGCTCTTCATCCTGGACCCTCTCCTGGGGCAGGTATTCCTCAATGCCAGCAATGCCAGCAGCCTCGCCGGCAGCGAGCGGGAGCTGGTGGTCCGGGTAAGCGATGGGGGGGACATCCCTCTGCACACCCTGGCCCGGGTCCGCTTAGTTTTCCGGCATCATGGGGCATTCTCCAAAATCTCAGCTCAGGATCCTGGGTGGCTGAGCCCGTCAGTGGTGGTCGTTATCTGCCTGACTGCTCTCCTGGGTGGGTGCCTTCTCCTTTTGGCTTTAACCCTGTCTTTGCGTAAGAAGGAGAAGAAGGACGGCATGGCCTACAATTGCAGGGAGGCAGAGGATGCCCGCAGGCAGCAGCAGCTCAAGAAGCCACATAGGCAGATCCAGAAGACAGACATCCACCTCGTCCCACTGCTCCGGGGCCGGCCCCGGGAGGCTGACCCCCCCCATCCCTGCCAGGAGGAAAAAAAGCACAGCCACCCCTGCGCCGGGGGGCTCCCCACAGGCCCCCCTCCACCTCACCCCCACTCTCTACAGGACCCTGAGAAACCAGAGGACCCAAAAAGACTCAGATGAGCAGCAGGGGACCTTCAACCTGCCCATCCTGCAGCGCCGGCCCTGCCAGCCCCACAGACCAAAAAATCCATCAAAAGAGGCTGTGAGCCCCCCGGATGCACCACCGCACTGCAAGAGCTTGGTGAAGCCACCGCAGGGGCCCGTGGAAGACACCCCACTGCCACCCGTGGGTGCTGGGGGACCTGGGCAGCCCCAGCCCCACCAGCACATCCTCAGGAGCCTGGTCCGGCTGTCGCTGGTGGCACTGGCAGAGCAGAGCCCCACTGGGGAATTCGCGATGGAGTCGCCCCCAGTGCAGGTAGGAGCCGCCCCGGGTGTTGCCAGTGGTGTGGACCCTCCCCAAATTCTTCCTCGCCCAGGTCTTGCACACACTGGGGTGGTGGGAACGTGCAACCTGATGGTCTTTACTTGGTCTCCTCTCCCAGCCTTGGGCAGAGGTGCCCCAGGAGTATGGGCTGGGTAGGATGAACAGCCACCCCACCATGGGCAGGGTTTCTCCATGCCCACCACAATGCCCCAGGAGCCGGGGTGGAGGATGGCTGTCACACAGGGAAGGGGACAACCCCACGCTCACTTCCCCAGGGGAGCGTGCGGGCAGGGAAAGACAGGCAGAGATGGCGCAGGGGGAGCACGGGGGGCAGGGGCACTGGGGCCAGGCGGGCTGCCCAGCCGCTTGGCTTTCCCTCCGCGTGGGGATGCTGAACCATCTGTAGGAGGAGGAAATGCTATAAAAAGGCCGGGGGGAGCGTTTGGAGGGGACGTCCTGGCAGGAAGCAGCTTGAGTGGCGATCGCCGGGGCTCAACAGGCTTTTCCTGCCTTACAGCAAATCTCCCAGCTGCTCTCCCTGCTGCACCAGGGCCAGTTCCAGCCCAAAACAAACCACAGAGGAAACAAGTACACGGCCAAGAATGGCAGCAGGTAAGGCTGGCTCACAGCCCTTCCCTTCCCCACGCCCCGTTCCCCTGTGTCTCTGCTGTCTCTGCTTCAGCCCCACTGGCCCCGAGGGCAGGAGGCACCGGGGCAGCAGACACACAAGGCAAAACCTCATCCCTGGTTTTGCTGACCTGAGACTGAGGACGCAGGTCCTCCCTTCAGGAGATGGCTGTGCTCCTCTGGTCCTGTCTCCCCGTTGGTATCCAGCACCCTCCCAGGGCTGCTCTTTGCCTCCTTCCATGCCCACCTGAGCTCTGCCCATCCTTGCTGGGGGAACACCGATGTGTTCAAGTGCGATGGAAAGGTGCACTCATGAGAACAGAAGGTTCCAGCTTTGGAGGCAGCAGCACAAGGATGAGCTTTCTCACGGCTCTAGGTACTTTCTTAGAAACGCTGTTGACATGAGTTCAGGGCATCTGTCCCTGGGCCAGGAGGCTAGCGAGGCAGAGACCCTGCTAGCAGGGATGGGACGACAGACACATCCCAGCTGTGTGCTGAAAGTGTTCCCAGAAACAAACTTTATGGCATTCCCATTAAATTACTGTGTTGACATCTCTGGGTGAATGCTCCCAAGGATGCCAGGGCTTCATCGCTCCTTCGCCATGTTCCCCCTGTCCTGCTCAGGCCATGGACAGACACAACTTTCTCCACCTTTCTCATTACCATCTCCATCTGCTGAGGATGGGGAGGGAGGAAGGGCCGCTCCGGGGCAGGGCTCTGCTGCCTTGCTCCTCGCCTGGTCCTGCACATGGGCAGCTCCTCTGAATACGCAGGGAAGAGCCAGCAGCTCCCTGTTTGCTCAGGATCTCCCTGAAGAAGGATAAAACCCCCCTCAGGCAAGAAATGTGGAGCAGCCCCACGTGTAGCCCAGCACCCAGCTGGGGCCCAGTTTTCAGAGGGTCCATGGCACTCCCGATCCCAGTGCTTTTGTTCATGTGGGGTTTCTTAAAAAATAAACACCCCCAAAATAACAACCCCAAAACTCATTAATTGGTGGGGACTAAAATGATTATGCCTTCGGTACTGTGAACGATGCACTGAGGATGCCCCCACCTCACCTCGGGGTCATTTTATGGGGGATGAAGTAATCGGCGGGGCAGGGTCGTGCTGAGGGTTGAAGTGTGATTTGAGTGTTTTGGCCCCCTCGCAGGGCTGCGGGGCTGGATGCTGACTGCCTGAGCACGAAGGACAGCGGGCACGGCGAGAGCGAGGCGGAGGACCGCGATTCGGAGAGCGGGTTTGAGCTCTCCATGCAGCAGCTGGTGGGAGAAGAGCTGGAGACTCTGCTGGAGCCGCAGGCAGGTGAGGTGGCCTCGCTACTGGGAGCACACTGGCACTGGTGGGGGGCTCCAGGGGATCTCCTCAAATAACACACTAACCTCATTCAGAAGATGAAACTAGCTGGCCTGCAGCAAGCCAGGGGACATCTCATTGTCTAGGGTGGCTCGGACAGCGGCTGCTTGGGACAGCGTGTATGGATCATCCTACGCTGTTGGTACCAGGTGGTGTAAAGCAAAGGGACTTGCTGAGCTTCACGTTGGATTTTTTTTTTTTCATGTTTAATCACTCTCGGTAGATCTTTCCTCCCATGGACGTATCTGCTGTTGTTTCGCTGATTTGTGAGGTTGACCTCTGTTGTTGCGTAGGGGTGAAGCCCAGTTTAACTATGCACCATGTGAACTGCTTCCCATGCTGACCTGAGCCCCTTCGTGCAGAGTGAGAAAGGTGAAGAGCTGTCCTTGTTGAGCTCCACAAGATGTTATATAGCCTTTGAGCCCCATCAGGCTGCTACCAGGCTGAACCAGTCCAGCCTCATCTCCTGTGACCAACCCGTTACTAATTTTAGTGTGTCTCTATTGAGACGTGGTGACCAGAATTGCGCGCAGTGTTTAGGATATATCTACACTGGTGGTATAAGGAGGTCTTCTGGTTTGTTCTTCATTCCTGTCCTGCCCAAGCTCCATACTGTTACCTAACTGTTCATGGTGACTCCCAAATCCCTCCTCTGCCTGGTAGGGGAGTCATCAATACATGACGTGTTGTTCCCTGTGACAATTATCCAACAGTTGGTGACACAGGAACCCACCAGCCACTTTTTGCTCACGTCACTCGGTATTTTTAGGTCCTTCAGCAACCCTCTGTTTTTATGTCGTTGGGTGTTTTAATGGAGTCAACACCAACGCCATCCACTTCTCCAAAAGTCATTTATTGCTACGTTGAACAGATGCTCTGGGACTTCACTAATGACCTCCCTTTGTGAGGAAGCTTATTTATTCCTACCCTCGCTTCCCACCTTTTAACTGACAGAACCTGGCCATTAACTCAGGGACAGCTCAGGTCCCCTGCACGCCTGGCTGGTGCTCTTCTGCAAGCTCAGGTGTCCTCTCTAAACCAGGACTCTTCATCCACCTCTTCCAAAGACACCAACAAATTTGCAAAACGCAATTCCCCACCTTGCAAATGTCACATCTGCTCTTGTCCAAATAGCAGGTACTCGACTGCCTGCTGAGTCTCGCATATAATAATTTCTGTGAATCTACTTGCACTAGATTCATCTTCATGCGCTTAAAAACTCCTGTCACAATTTCTACCTTCCCTTCCTCTGATTCCGTATTCATTTGAAGCAGTAGTTAACGAACAGCAGTTAATAAACCAGGCAATTTCATATCTGAGTTCCTCTAGCACTCCGGGGTGAATACCATCTGGGCCTGACATTTTCTACATGTTCCCTTTATTGATTTGTTCTAAAAAATCTCTTCTACTGGCATTTCAATTTGAAAGAGTTGGGCTGACTCACGTCCTGTAGCAGAAATTTCATTGTGGAGCCTCTGCTCTCTTCCATAGCAAGAGGAACTCATTGAGGTTTGCTGCTGCGGTCGCTTTAATTCCAGAACTGGGTGTTTTCTGTCCTCTTGCTTAGAGGGAGAGCCACGCTGCTTCTCTCCGTTTGCCTTCCTGCCCTTTTATTCTAGTAAGGAGCAGACAAAGGAAAGGCTAGGTGAAACAAAAGCTGCAACCTTACTCAGATTTAAAGGTCCTGCAGCCAAGAGCAGGGAGCGAACAGGCTGCCCAGCTCCATCCCATGGGTGTACTGACATGCGCTGGTCCCAGTAAACAGACTGGTGGACCTGCTCAGCAGATCTGTCCAGATCCAGTCCTGCCCACACAGGCAGCATCCTAGAAAATCTGTGCTATGGCAAGGCATGTCCATGAAGTGCCATCATCTCCCATGCTTGAATTTGATAGAAAAAACCCCTGGAATTTCAGAGTGAACACCAGTGGTGCATGCTGAGGCTATGCTGGCGTGCCTTCCTGCCCGCACAGTAGTAACAGAAGAGCCTGCACTGTTTCAGTGGTGAAAAACAACCTTAACCATGAGCCTCAGACCTTCCCAAAAAGGCGACGGAGCTGCTGGACTCCTTCCTCTTCTCCCAAACACAAACAGAGAAGTGGACTTGCATCCTGAGAGAGGGAGGAAGGAAGCATTGCTTGTGCTCAGGAGTATCATAACAGCTGGCTGAGGCTGTCTGGGCCTTTGTGCTATTCGCAGCAGGGGGAACTGTGCAGTAATCTGTCCCAGCCAGCTATCGGGTTGTTTACGCTGTAAGCATCGAGCCGCGGGCTAAACTCTCGGCACTCAGCACCGTCTATTAACACCTATCCCCCACCAGCAAAGCAGAGTGCTCGCAGCAGCAGATGAGAGATATAACTTTATTGATTATAAAAACAAAAAAAACCCCAAAACACCATTAAAATAAGGCAGTAAAGAGTTATTGGTCAAATTACACGTACCGAATTATAAGGTTTCATGGTCACAAGACCATCAGCCTACAGAGTCTTGGCTCTCCCTGCAGCGAGCAGACTACTGTTGTGCTCTGCTCCAGAGCTGAGGCATCAAAATATTCAGGGAATGCAGTGGCTTCTTGCAGACCGAGGAGGGGAGAGCTGTGGATATTTTAGAGCAAAAATGTGGGACTTCAGCATGCTTGGGAGAGCTTTTAAGGAACAGTCACTGTGACTGAAAGAAAATAGAGATTGCAGAAAAAAATCCTGAAAGTTAAGCAACACAAACCAACTCTGGGTCTCCAGGTGAAACAAAATCTAAGTGATGTGTCTGCCTTTCTCTCCTTACCAGGTTTTGAATCCCAGCCCTCACCCCCATCCTACCCACCCTGAGAGACTGTTGTTTTTCAGAGAAAAAAGATTAATTACGTAGCGGCTGAGGAAGGAGAATTGTCTCAGTGCTTGACTAGCCACCGACTGAGGACCACGTGTCCCAGGCTGTGGTAGGGTATCGATTATCTTCTGGAAGCAGTATAACTGCACAAGTATGGGGACCCTCCTCTCAGAGGTCACTTTATATGTCAGAGCTGCATAACTGTAATAATGAGACCAGCTCTTGCCATCTGATGGGGACTATTGTGGTACTTGGTGTGTTAGGGCCAGACACCAGTTATTTGCTTTGCTGCTCTCTGACTCAAGTGTTTCACAAACCCGGTGGTCACTTCGAACCTCACAGTGGTTCTAGGTTATGCTTTGGAAATGACGCCATGCGGGGCTGGAAGGCAGCATCTGTGCACCACATCACGGAGTCTTGTTTACCAACTGCAAAGCTCTACGTTGAAAACAAGAGCCCCCATTTCCTTTCCTGCCGTCTGATGAGGAAGCTATTCCAGGCTCACCCTGCTACGGGGTCCTTCCTTTAATTTCCAGTATATGTTTATTCATGGACAGTTACAATCACTTCTTCTTTTGCCAACACTATTTTAAGCATAAAGATTTCCTTTGTCGGTGCTTATTTCATCAAAATAACAACAGGTTGCAGTCAGATCCCTGGTGAGCGTTTGCGTCCTTAGGCTAAGCAACCCCTACCTCTTGGGGTCTCTGTCATGTAAGCCTGGACTCATTCCTGTCTTCCTCTCAGTAGTTTCCCCTGCACTTCTGTCATTTCAGATCCTCTTATCTACGGATGGATAATCAGATTTGTATGTAATACTCCTAATCAGGTCTCGCCAGACCTAGTAACAATATCATGGACATGTCTCTTCGTGCCAACAGGGAATACCTTGACCAACACATCGCATGATTTCATTTGCCCATTTTGGGGCAGAATCGCATTACTGGTACACTAACGAGCCTGCAGCCAGCACCCACGCCAGGCTCCCACTGCTCCTCATCTGTTTCCAATTGATGAATAACTACTTTATAGCTCAATTTTTTGTTACTAGTCTTCAACCATCCAGCTGTGTGTTTTATAATCCAAAATTTCATTCTACTTCTGTTGTTATTGTTCTCACAATAATCCATTTCTTTTTGGTCTCAATATGACTGCTTAGCAGCAAATTCCCACCCTAGAGTGACCCTTAAGAGAAGTCCACTAGTGACCTCCTTTTTGTCTGATACTTCCCCTTTAGCCAGTCCTAAACCCTCACTTTCTCTGGCTTTGCTAACGATTTAGTGAAGTGCCACTAGAGGCTGCAACAAATGAGAAATCAAAAGTTATCCTAATGGTTATTACATTAAAAAAACCCCAACAACAACAGAAACCCAGTAGTTTTAAACCAGTTCTAGTTTGGTTTTTTTAAGCTGCTGGTAACTTACGTCTAGACCTGTTTACAATCAAACGTCTCGCAGCTGATTTCTGGAAGTCTCCTCATTTCTCAAAATATTTTTTTTCCCCCTCTTCACTCCTGTGAATCTCTCCTCTACTCTACTACACGTCTCACCAACAGTTCTTGTTTTCACTCCCTCCAGAGCTGGCCCTCAAGAGGCTGACAGCTGCTGACCCAGCATGGGTGGCTCGACTCTCCTTGCCGCTCACCGGTAATTACAAGGACAACGTCTTCTCCCCCGACTCTCTGCATTCACCTCAGGATGAGGAAGCTGCAAGGCAGGAGAAACCAAGGACCTTTGAGACCTTCGGCAAAGGTGCTGGGGCTGACTCGAATGCTGCTGGGACAAGACTTGCCAGCACTTTCCTTTCAGAAATGAGCACCCTCTTTGAAATGATTTTGTCCCAGAAGGTCCAAGTTCACAACGAAACAGGCTCAGGGCTTCTGCGGCAGCTGTCGGCACATGGGAAGAGCCTCGGACTGGAAGACAGTGCTCCTGTTCTGTAGGCAGCTTGCTGGCTGTGATAAGGAGATAAGAGTCAGACAGAGCTTCTTTCTGCATTTGGGGTGCACACGTGTGCTTTAACAGGGTCATTGTACCATCCATGTCTAGACTGATCACGACAGGCATATTTCTTCCTTTGCCTCAAATTTCTCCATGACTGATTTCACCTTGTTTAGTTCCCTTCTACCTGCCTGTTCTTGCCTTCCTAGCTCTCCTCCTCTTCCACCCTCATCTTTCACCTTACCATCACACTCAAGTCACAGGACAGCAGGAGGGCCCTTTCCTCCCAGGGCAGGCTGACTGAGGGGACGGGGGTTGTCAGATTAACCACAAGCACACCACAGTCAGCCACATCCACGTGATCACTGACTGTGCACCATGGACGACATCACCATCATGGACTTTGCAATGTGCAGAGTTGGGCTCCAGGATCTCAGTTCTTATTTAAATAAAATTGTCTTTTTTCTAACACTACCATCTCTGGAACAAGGTGCAGTATAGCTGACATGTATCTGCAGAAAGCCTGAAATGGCAATTCAGAAAGGGGAGATCAGCCTGTTGTATCCCACTGATACTTTCAGCTTTTGTGGTTCTACCGCTGTGAACTTGGCATTTTGTAAGATGCCCCAATCAGCACTGGCATCTCTCCTCTGGCTGCACTAGGTGACCACAATTTCTTTCTCCATGTTCTGTTTTGAGGCCACTGGATTTTGGAACGTAGTCCTTGCCCAGAAGCAGACAACAGATGGCTGGAGTCTGCCAAAGGTAACCTGGGAAAAGGGAAGTGTGAAAACACTGTTTTGAAATATTCAGTCACAAGCTTCAACCATATTACAGGTTTTCACTTTGATCTGTACGTATGTGAGTTATAAGACAGTTTTAATAGCATGTGTAGGAAAACTAAGACACAGGTATTAGTAACAATGGAAGAAGCACACAGGTGGTGTTAACCATGGGGATTTGCACTCGCAGAGAATGGAAAGACAACAGTGGCATAAGCATCTGGAGTGCATCTATAGGCTTACACAGCGGTGCCCGGATGGCAGGTAAATGCTTCTGGATCATGCACACGTAGGACTCTCTTCTGTACCACAGTTTGTGCCTTCCAACTACGATACAAAACACCAGAACAAATTTGGGGCATGCTGGCGAAGAGTCAAGCTAGGGGAATGAGGGTAAGCCATCACCCCCACTCCTGGCGATGCACAACGTCATCGCTTGCTGAGTGACTACAACAGCGAGGCTGAGAAGAGACTGCCAGCCTCCCCTCCATCACAGTGCAGGGCCAGTGGCGCTTTACACACATTGCTTGCTTTCCTTCACCATCTTTACATTAAAAGTACCGCACTGACTTCTCCACAGATACCGCAGTTCACAGCACAGGTTTCTCCAAAGCTAATTTGCTCATGGCGGGGCTGTTGCATCAGGTGTCTTTGGGTGATATTTTTGGCTTTCATTTTACTATTAAATTGAAAAAGAACAGGCAGCACGACCCAGCAGTCATGGTCCTGGAGCATTTCAGGAGTGTCCTACCCATGTTCCTTTTCCACGCACCTGGCAGTGACAGTGCCCTGCTTTTAGTGTGTGCACACACAAGGCACAGCAGCAGACAATCATACAGATAATTTAAAGCAGAGTAAATGAGAAAGTTATCCCCTTCTGTTGCTCTCGGGACCAAATGACAAAAGCAAAAGAGTAAGATTTCCCCAGGTAGACTCTTTAATATCCAAAATATCCACTGCTGTATTTGGAGTCTCCAAAGTGTGTTACAGATGACCCCATCTCTGGCAATAAACTACGCTGATGGGTTTGCCCCAGCCTGCTTATGCTGCCATGCTGCTAAGAGAAATATCTTGCTGTTTTGTTTCACAAACAAAAACAGGCTCTTGCACCAAAACAATGACAGTGAGCCAGACTCTAACTGAGATGCAGCTGTGCAAACCACGAGGGAGGCATATCTGTTACTGTGAGGAGATGCAGCCCTACAGGATTCCTCTGCATCTTGGGAACACACGCAGAGGACAAACACACGGCACAACCTCACATCTTCCTCTGGAAAGTTACTTTGATGTGCCTGTCAAAGGACAAATCTTTACATAAAAATACACTATAATAAGCAGATTTAAAAAGGAGGTAAATTCCTCTCTCTTGGTTCAGTTTCCTGATTCTGCAAACTGCTTTCAACCCCCACAACCCTTACCCCCATCCTGTCCTGACCAATGCGTAAGCATGCTGGGGATTATCACAAAATAGGAAATCCACCCGAGGAATTTCCTGCTAATTGTATCCTGCTTGATAAAGGAAATGGTCTAAGAAAGTTTGGTCTGAGCAGAAAGAGAGACCAGACTAGAGGAACAATCAGATGTGTTGAGCTCTGGCTGTGCCCCTCCCTTGCTGAATGGAGACCACAGCAAGTTCAGGATGGGGCCATTGCCTTTGTTTTTCAGAGCCTGATCTACACAAAGCACCAGAGCACCGTGGCCACAGGAAGCTCGACAGTTTGTACAGATGCCCTTGAACCAGTTTAAACTGGTGTGGACAAATGTCTTTTTTCCGGATTCAGCTGCCCCAGTGGAAGAAATTATCATACCAGCTGCTTGCCGCTGTCTGCCTGACAGTGGTTGCTGCCCGCTGGGAGCATTCCTTATCCACTTCAGTGGAAACGAGCCGGCGTGCTTAGCAAACACGTACAATATACATTTTGAAGCAAACCTCGCTCATTGTTACTCAAAGGGGTGTACTCATGGGAATAGCTCACTGCCAAAGCTGAAGGAATAATAACTGGGGATCGAGGGGCACTTACAATGGTGCAGGATGGCTGAGGACAGCCCTTACTTTCACCAGTTCAGGTGGATCCACAAAAACCTGTGCCCTAATAATCAGAATTCACTCTCTTGCTTGCACAGGTTTCAAAGCAGATTAAGCTCCCACAATGGCAATGTAAAGACAAGCCCAGATTGTGCTGGCAGCAGAGCCACTGTGGGAACAGGTAGCCTTGAAGCGAGATCAGATTGCCTCAGAGGGTGCAGGCCAGGCCCATCACAGAGTTAGGTGCCAACATCACCATATGGTGGCTTGTAAACCTCACTGGGGGACCACGTGCAAGATGTGCAGGGCTACTGGAATTACAGCCCCAAATCATATCACCGTGGCATGGTGGGAGTACAGGAGCATACAAAACGTCCTTGTATTGGAAGGTAGAGTGCCAGATGACATGGCGGTGTAGGAGATATCACAAGGTTTATTCTCAAAACCCTGGTATTTAAAAATGGCTCCTGTTCCATTAACAGAAAACTTTCTCTTTCCACTCACTGCTAGCCTGTTCCAGCTCCACACAGACTAAGAAGGACTGCCTTCCCCTCTGCCTGCTTGTTTCACTTACCGACTGTTCTAAGAACAGCAGTGGTGGGGCTCCAAGCACTGCAGTTCCAGTGGCGTTGCCCTGTTTCCGAGGGCACGGCTCCATCCTGCGCTGCCGAGCATCATCATGTGGAGCTCATCTGCGCTCCTAGAGTGGGGCAGGGTGAGGGCAGATTGTCGTGGCTGGGTGGCGTGGAGGCCTGCAGGCACACGTTCAATAGCCCAGAAACAGGGACTAGAGGAAGAGGGTCTTATTCCGGAAGGGAATGGATGCTTTGCTTGCACATCTGAAAGTACATTAAAACAAGGTATTAATGACGCACCATACTATGGGAACGGCTTCTCCACTTCAGCTTGACTAGAAATAGCTGGTAAGAAAATAAGCTGGAAAGAACTGAGACAGAAAAGTGCTTCCTTTGGTAAATAGGACTACTTTTTGTCATGGCTACCTTTCCTCTGGCAATATGGGCCCCGCTTTGATGGGGTCACTACCCCATGCAGTCCTGCACACCCTCTTCCCCCACTACCCGTGGTACCTTCCACCTCCTCTTCTAACACTCGCAGTCTCTCCTGAGCATTCCTGTTCCCCACAGCAGCTGACTGTCGGTAGTGTCTCATCGCTTCTGCCAGGTTCTGCTGCACTCCAAGGCCCTTCTCATAGCAAACGCCCACGTGATACCTGCTTTGGGCATCCTAGCCACAGGAGAAAGCACAGCAATGAGCCTCACACGATGGAGAAGTGACGACAGCACTCAAAAAGAGAACAGAGAGTCTTTAACACCTTCTTTAAAGTTTATTGCACTATTTTTGGTCACCTTCTTTAAAGTTTACTCCTTTATCTTTGGTCCCTCAGACCATATCTTCAGTAATTTAGCCCCTTCTCCAAGCCCAGAGTGAAGCAGAATTTCTTACCAGCTACCTCCGACTCCGCTCCTTCGTATCCCTTTCCAATTAAATTCACCGATTTCCCTTCAACATCCAGGTCTGCGTCACGGCAACAAGGGAACTGCTGTCTCTGCAGAGCACCCCCATTGTCTCAGGGGTCAGAGCTAAGAGGACTTGGGCAGCCTTGACTGCACCCACATCCTGATCACACCCAAAGGCTGAGCACGCCCTTTGGACTGCCCTACTACAGTTCACGCAGAAGTCTCGTAAAAATGTAACAAATGCCACAGAGGTTGGAAGATTCCCCTTGGCAGCATCAGGCCTCCAACACAACAGTGCACCACTCTCCTGCTCAGCCCCACCTAATTATATTGCAGAAGAAATCTCAAGCAGCAGAAATCAAGTGAAGCAAAGAGAAGTGCCAGAGAAAAAGCACCTAAACTACTCAGACATACGTAACTGCTGAGAATGAACTAGAAAGTAGAGGATGTAAATGCAGATGGGCCAGTGAAGCCAAATCCAAACCCATGATATGTTTGTATTGGCTGTGCACTTTATCTTTGAGATCCATCAGGAGGAAAAGATAGCAAGAAGGCAAGATGACAGCCCTGAAGACATTGAAAAGACTGCACGGGTAGTGGTCACACAGACCTTTTCCAGCAAAAAAGCCAGCAACATGACTTGAAGAGTATGACTGCCAGAGACATGGTCTAAACAAGGCTTTGCAAAGAAAGAAAAAAAAAAAAGGAAGTAAGTAGCACGTTTTAATAAAGCCATGAGAAAAGAACATATTGCAAGTGTTGCTGTCTGGGATGTAGCTGGTAGAGGAAAGCAAAGAATTCAATGAGTGGGTGCTTTGCAAAATGTTGCAAGTCTCAGTTTATGACAGCAATAAACTTCTTTAGAGATGAGATAAACATGTTGAAGGATTGGCACTTCAGATGTGACAAGAGACAGGGTTAAGTATGAAGTATTCCACTAGCCGTCTCTTATATGACGAACACCTCAAAGACAAGACCACAAGGAGAAGAGATCCCCAAATTAGCATGGCATAAGTGACTGTGATATACTTTGAAATCCAAAGGTCAGACTCAGTTCTCCAACAACACTCTTTAGTATGGGTTTTATATTCTGTGGTTGCATGCATAAAATAAGGGAGGATAAAAAGTGGTAACCAAAGTAAAACACAGTTCTCTGAACTATCGTTGTATGTGGAAGAACACTTGGGAGAGTTCCCCCCTCGGCTCTAGCACAGAAACACTGAACCCATGACTTTTTGTGCCTGTTTTCCCTTTTTTTGGATTTGCAGCTAAATGGTGCCATCCTTGCCTCACCCATATCCAGCAGTCTTTTAATCAACTAAACATAAATTCATACTCTGGGATAACGGGAAAAGAACTTCCTCACGGAGCCCTTCTCCCAGCAGAACGCATAGGGTTACATCCCAGGGAGCCGAGGCACGAGCCTGCCACCACAGATGAGGCCGTGGTACATCCACAGCCAGCACCCACTGGGAAGCAGAGATGGGGAAAGATGATTGGGTTCCGAAAACTGTCACAGCGCCGACCAAAACATGCAAAACACTGATCTACTGGGGGGTACCCCTGGGACCTGCAGTTACCTGCTAGATTTTCTGTTGTTAAGGGCTTACTAGGCATTCAGTAAATGACAATCATCTATTTAATGAGATAATTCATTGTTATATTGTGCAGCATACGCATCTGACATCAGGCTGGAAGAAGGGAGTCAACGATGCAGCTTATGAGAGATCTTTAGCAGATCTGGAATTAAATACTGTATCAATCATCATGAACATGATGTCTGAGCTGCTGGGGCCAGTCAGGTCTAGTCTCACCAGTGATCTGACAGTGTCTGCATTCTTAAAAGTGGGTGAAAACTGAAGTGGTAAAGTTTGCAGGTGATGTAGTGTCATTCAGAGTGACCAAATTTACTGTAAAGAATTAATTAGAGGTGATCTTGCAGGACTAACAGCGGGCAACCCAATCACAGAGGAAACTTAGTGTTGACAAATGCATAGTAGTGCTTATAGAAAGAAATCTGTGAGTCACTGTGATCGTTCCCTGAAACCATCAAGTCACTGCTCAGTGGCAGGCAGAAGGGCAAACAATATTGGTATTATTGGAAGGGAATACAGTACAAAGCAGAGGATCTCATTATGTCAGATCCCTGGCATGCCTCCATCCTGAGTCCAGTTTTAGTCCAAGCACCTTAAAATGGTCAAAGGAGAATTAGAAAAACAGAGAGGAGACTGACAAGCAAAATGGAACAGCTTAACTACATGGAGAGACAAACTAAACTAGCACTCTGCAGCCTGCAAAAGAAATGACTCAGAGAGGACATAGTAAAGGGCGACAGAATCAGAAGTATTAGCCAAAAGAAGAGGGAATAGCTATTCATTATTTTCCATTACACAAAAGGTATGGGAATTGAAGTTAAAATGGACAAGTTCTTCAGAAAAAACCTAGCTATTACAATGCAGTGCAAGCTAAAAACGAGTGAACAATGCCAGTGCTGTAAAGAAACAGAACCATCGGATGCAGAAACCTGGCTGCAAGACATGGGATGTCATACTTTGACTCCTCTAAGTGCTGGTAAGGGTTCAGGAGTAGTACTATACCCAGATCCAGATTGTGGCACTGCCCTTCAAAAAAAAAAAAAAAAAAAGAAAAAAAGAAAAAAGCCTGTGTCGCATAGAAAAAGTTCAACAGCAGGCAAGAAAATTGTTGGGGATCTAGACAACATGACATGTGAAGAGAAACTGCAACAACGGGGGAAGGCTGAATGGAGATTCAAGTATTTAAGTACGTTAAAGGTCCCTGCAAAGAAACAGAAATAGTCTTTTCATCCTCTCTATAGAGGGCAAGAAATAATGGGCCAATTTTGAAGAACAGATTCGAGATAGACACAACAAAGTTCTGAAAGTGATATAGTTGTGAAAGAATTTGACTGAAGAGGGTGTAGATGCTCCATAATAGGAAACCTGTAAAATTATGCTAGATGAATACAGGTGCTGTAAGAACTAATCCAACCCAACAGGGCTGTTTCTACATTCATGTTTTGTAGGGTTTGTGCCCCAGGGCCTGTTTCCTCTCCAAGATGCACCAACACTCCACTCTGTCCTTTCAGACTGCGCGGTAAAATCCTGACATTCGCTCCCATTTCCAAGAAGCACTGAAATCTTCCACCTGTAACCTGCAGTGATCCCAAACTGAGAACAATCATAGCTTGCAAAAGGATTACTTACGCCATTCTCTGCTGCCAGCAGCAGGTACTTCAGACCTTTCTTTTCCTGAGGTTGCAGCCCTTTCATGTAGAAAACTCCAAGATAAGCCTGTGCCTGCAACAAAACCATATGATACAAATCAGCCAGGATTCTCCTCATTAATTACTCCAGTTCTTTTACTGATTCTCCAAGTTGTTCAAAAGTTACTGGTGCAATATGGGTGTGCAAAGCACCTCACTTGCTGCGGAGCCTGTTGAGAGAAGGGGGGCTGTCCTAGAAAAAAAAAAAATCAGTCTGACATGCTAAATCCCATTTGATCTATAGAACTCCACTATACGTACAGTAAAATCACCACACTAATAGCATAAGACCCAGAATATCGTTTTCAAACTGCACTGTGGAAGACAGAGCCAGAGAATGGCTCCTACTCATGAGCTGTCCGTAAGATACAGCAGATGCACTTCCTGGAACAGCGTGCTACATGAGATACAGTCACTGCCAGAACGACTGGCGTTCGCAACACAAGATGGCACATGCCTAAATGCATCTCCTAGAGAGTGGGAAAGGAGGGCAGGGTACACAGATCCATGCGGTGAATCATCTTGAAAAGTCACAGACACAAAATGAGAATCTGTTCTTACTTCAAGCATCTCATGGAAGTTCCTCCACCAAAGCAAGCTGTACTCTCGGAATTGAGAGGAGACAAAACACAGAGCTACATTTTAAACTGCAGGTCAGTTTTCCTAAGCCAATGTCTGGTCTAGGTGTCTAATCTAAGAGCAACATTAAAAAGCCCAACAGCAAAACAGACACCAACACTGTAGACACAGTGGGTACCTAGTTGCCACCCATGTGCAGGCAGGGCTGTCTCCCATACACTGTCATGAGTATAAATATGAGGGAAGAATTTTTCTTCCAGTCCCATAGATGCTGCTTTCCAGGATGTCTTGTGGTTCAAATTCATTGTCATTGGTTCTCTGCTGGCTCTCTCCTAAGAAATCCCATGCTGCAGACACTAACCTCTGTAATCCCGGCCATTGCTGCTTGCTCCAGGAAAGTCACTGCCTTCTGATGCCCATCCCACTCATTTTCAGGTCTGTGGCATAAGAGGTACCTAGCATAGTGGTACTGTGCCATGGGGTGACAGCTGCGAGCCGCGTGGTAGTAATAAAATGCTGCCTGGAAAAAGAGAAACACCCTTGCGTGATTCAGGTAACACGTGCCCTCAAACATGACATGACTCCCCTCTGGCCAGGACAAGCTTAACCTCTCTGTCTAGATCTATTATAAGCTGCACACGCTTACTCCAGCAGCTCTCCCACATCTCCCCGCTGAAGAACATGAGATTGTTTAACCGAGACAGTGGACTGCGACTATCCGAGAGCCCTCGAACCACCCTGCCTTCTCTAGTCAAAACTCCCTGCGTTGAAGGGGGTGGCACCGGGCCAACAATACCAAAGCTTACTCTGTGCCAACGGGGATCTGCACAACTACTCGAAACAAGCCGCCTTTGCGGATCTTTCCAGCTACAGAAGATGCTGACTACGGCCAGCACGCACTAGATGGCAGGCTGTAGTTAAGGTAACCAAACTGAATGGCTCAAGATGTAAAGAGGCCCTTGGATGTGCAGCAGTGTTTTAAATACAGTAACATGACAGGTTTCTCCTTGGTACTCTCCTGGGTGCTACTGGCACAGCCCGTGTACCTACGAAAAGACCTCAGAAACTATGAGAAAGAGGATTTCAGGGGCACATATCTGAGAGGATCTATGACACTGAACTGCAAACCTGGTTTTTATTATTTCCAGCATTTTCTAACGAGATTTCAGAGGCTATCACACCCATGCAAAAGGAGAAAAGCGCCTGTGCACCCAACAAAGACCACTCTCCTGGTCCATGCCGCACATATAAAACCCTACAAGCCATGGATACCTTTTCCAAGTCTTTTTCCGTGCCTCTGCCATGCTCATAACACAGACCCACGTTGAACTGGGCTTTGCTGTAGCCTCGATCTGCTGCCAGTTTGAAGCAGGTATAGGCTATCCTGTAATGGCCCGCTCTCATACTTTCAATCCCTGAGAACACAATATAAAAACAGGGGAAAAGAGAATAGGCAGAATGCAGCCTCAAATGCAGCAACCTCCCCCACAGTTTCCATAGGAAAAACGGCAACGCTGCGTTTCAGGAATTTTTCTAGTTTCATTGCAAAGGAGGATGACGGGCTAACACAACGTATGGTTCGCACACAAGCGGCTCACTTTCTTAGCGTTGCAACTACTGGTGTATATAGGGCAACGATTTTTTTCTTAGATCATTGCATCTTCCTTCAGCTCTTCTTAGAGTTGCAATTCTGCAGTTGCTTTTTCAGCTTGCCAGGAAGACTGAGATCTCAGACAATGAAAAAGTATACGAGGATATGACAGCCTGTGTTGCAAAAAAGACAGAGATGGCTTAATTTCCAACTACAGATGTCAGGACAACGGTGCAGGCTTCAACCAAGTCTGGATTTAAATATGCTGATATAAATCAGGTGGCAGGATGGGACAAAGGGCAATAAATCTCTCAAAGCACAGTTGAAATTGCTGAAAGGAGGCTTCAGCTTGGGTATATGCCATCTCTGCCTTCACACAAGACCTGCAAGAATTTGGAGGTCCTTCAAAAAGAGAAATGTGTGGTTTAAGGACAAAACAAACCCAAGTCCACATTACCGAGGATATTCAATGCAATGGAAATGTCAATCCGGAAAATCTGCTGCAACTGGAAGGCAGCTTCCTCTAAACGCCCTCGCTGAGCTGGGTCACCCTGCCGAGTTAAAGAAGAAAGCTATTAAGACAGCAAAACTGTACAAAACCTATAAGAGATTCTTTCTTGGAAACTGAGTGGTGAGATGCATTTGCACTGTACTATAGTTATCAAGAGGGTGATGTAATCTGGTGTCATGTGTCCACAGAAAAATCTCCCTGTGCTACAAAGCCATCTAGTTAGGGAAGCTGTACGGACGTTGCTCACCTCCCCTCTAGCCAGGGAGCTTGGTGTAGCCTCTCGGACATCATCAGACCTTTCAGAATTTAGCAAATACCTGATGCCACTCATAACTCCCCCCTTCAAAAGTAACATTGGCCCTTGTTCACCCTCCCGCATCACGTTAACAGCACTGTCTCTGCCAAACATGCACTGACATATTTGTATCAGCTTTACACAATTCAAGCTGAGCCCACACTGTCAGTTCACAGAACACGGCACGCTCCTAATAAAATCCTGCACAGCAGAGACAACGTCTTTCCTTCCTCCGTAATGAACAGTATTTTTTACTTCACCACAGCTCTGGGAGGTGGGAGGCGGATTTAGCCTGCCCTGCAGCTTTAGCTTCCCAGCCTGCGTACAAATTTAGTGCCATCGAGTGGCAGCAGTGCACACTGCACACGAGCCGAGATGTCTCCGCGCTCGGGGAAGTCACGCAGCAAAAACGCCCCTTGCCACCCAACAGCTTTACTGCTTAGCCAGCACTCAGAGCTGCTCACAAGAGGACAAGCCATGGACTGACTCGTTTCCTCTCCCGAGAGCCTCCTGAGACCTGCCCCACCTCCTCCAAATGAGCTAGGGACACTTCCTACGGGCTCTGCAGAAAGCGGCACCTCCCAGGATGGGGAGCTCGATGCTCATCCCCTTGGCAGATCAAGCTGGTGGGGGAGCAGAGGTCACTTCCATGTCACAGAGAGGATCCCACTCTGTTAAATACTGAATTTACCTCCACTCTGTTCACAGTGCCCTTGAGGAATTGCTCAGCTGACTGATTTTTAAAATGGGGAATTGTCTGCACCTAAGACTGTGAATTGCAAGGAATTAGCAGGTTTAATCACAACGAGAACAATAATATAATTTATGGCCTTGTGACTCTCAAGCTGATGCACCCTCTTCAAGCCCAAAGTGTCTTCCTCTCTATAACAGACAAGAGCCAGTCCTGATTTGCAGCTTTAGGAGTGATACCACCTTCTCCAGTCATGGGTTGTCTGGGAAAAACCAAAATAGCAACAGCACGTAATCACCTAGTGAAAGATTGCATCAAAATGCAAACACACAAGAAAGACTAGGGCTACTGGATAGGTTTTTTTGTTTGTTTTGAGGGTTTTTTTGTGGTTTTCTTCTAGTGCTTCTCTACTAGCACCCTTGTTACACAGAAAACCTTAAAGGAGGGGTGGTTTGTAGTTTCTGGAACTTTGCTCTGGCTAAAGCAGAGGGGAGCATTTTGCATTTCTTTTTCTCCTGCCTTCCAGCTGTGCAGGGCAGAAAATGGTTTTGGGTGCGAGTGGATTGCTCAGGCTGTGCTTGGGGTCACACCGAGACGTCTTCCTGCAGGAAAGAGGCCTCAGGTGCAGATGGAGAGTGTGAAAAATAAAAGCATACCTTTGCACTGTGGAGAACTGGCCCCAAGCTGGAGCTCCCAGGGATTTGGAACTCCCCTATATTAAAAAAAAAGAAAAAAAAAAAAAAAAAGCAAGATTAAGCAATGCTGTATCTTTGCCTCTTCCTCCTTTACTCATCTTCTCTACTCCACAACTCTTTCCTAGAGGACTGATCGCCCACCCAGTCAGGGACATTAAGAACAGAAGGAACCCCGACCAACCCGACCTTTGTGTCAAAAGCAACCAAGAGCCCCAAGAATACGGTCCTGTAATCCGCAGCTGGCTAATGCACCTCCTCTAGAAAGGTCCCCAGTCTTGATCTGAAGACACCAAAAGCTAGAGAATCTCCCGCTTCTTCTCAAAGTTTGTTCCAGCACTTGTTATCGACGCTTTAAATCTCTGTGCTTCATTTCAAATTAAAATACATCTAATTTCTGTTCCCAGGCACTGGCTGTTTTAGGCTTTTTTCCTCTTTACTAAAAAGCCCATTCTCCTTTCGAAAGTCCTGATACAACTAATCAACCCCTCTTGATTCTTGTCTGTGATTCTAAACAGACCGCGCTGTTCATGTCTTTCAACTGAAGTACTTTTCTGCCTGAGTTGATTAATTTTATGACTTTTTGCCACTACTCCTGAATTTTCAACATTGTTATTGAAGTGCAGACCCTCTCACCACTGTCACAGGAAGGGTAAAATTACCTCTTTATTCGAATTCGTAACTGCCTAGTTTGCATGTATCAGAACTGTGCTCCAATTCCCATTGCCCAGGGCATCACACTGAGATCTCACGCTTAGCTCCTTTTCCAGATAATTTCTTTCCAGGGTACAGTTCTGCTTCTGCAAGGGGATGATCAGACGTGCTATTCTGGCTGCACCGGATGCAGGCTTAGGTTATCACCCCAGAGTACCCCACTTACTCATCGCTGCTGCTATCCGACCAGTTTCAATCAGAATTATCTAACAAAAACATCTACAGCAAAAGCTAAGCCACCTTGCTCTTAACAGAATTGCGCTGGAAGTGATTACATAGGCATTTACGCCAGCTACTCTAAGAGGACAGTGACCTCCGGCAAAGAGGATGAACAAGTGAGGGCTGACTGAGGCCAATTATTTTTAACTTGAATTGCCACAAGCAGCTGGAACCCACCGGGCACGGAAGCCTGGATGTCTTCAAGCCAGTGCTGCTGATACAAGAAGTAGCCGTGCCCTCCCTGTGTCCCCCCGTCCCCCTCTCCTAGCTGTGTGGTTGCTGAGCAGGGAGCTAATCCGAGTGAAAATCTTGGGAGGCAAATTCCTTGATTCCGGGCACTATGTGGCTACACAAGTGGCAGAAACAAGTGTGCAACAGGCAGGATTGCTTCTTGCAGTGCCTGCACCGTCTTACATTGCACATGAAGCCGTGGCCTATGTTCCAGCTGCAGCCTCATTATTCCCAGGTAAACAATTCCCCTCTGGCTGTATTAAAATGTGTTTTATCTGAACAAGCCCCACTCACCCAACAAGCAAGATCGCTATGTCAAACACAATTTCTATTCATCATTCCATCAAAAGTAATATAATCTGTGAATTTATTAGTTGTGCTTTACATTTATTTTCAGATCAGGCATAAAATTATCTGATCTTTCTCACCGTAAGACTCTATCTCTTGTTCAGGTATCTCCCTCATGATGTAATTTGGTTTTTTTGCCATACATACAACAGCAAATCTCATGAAAAAAAAATTGCCTGCATTAAAATTTCTCCCAACTATTTGTTTAAACAACATTTGTTTTGTAATTTGGACAAATGATTACCCCATGAAAAATAAACAGAAACTAATTCTGAATTTTATCAGCTTGCAAAACTGTCTCATGCCCCTCTCCCCCTGGAAATCCCTCCTCACCCAAATCCCAGTAATCTCCCTGGATTAGAGTTACCGCTCCCGGAGAACATAAGGTCATTCAGAAGAGAACACAGGGACCGACCGATCCTGACACCCACTCCCGTCTCCTGAAGGACTAGATTAATGAATTCTCTTGGAACTCACCTTTGAGGCTGGGCAAGCCTCAAATCAAAATTCTTCAGGTATATTGTAATCTTTAAGACTCACCTGTTTCAGAGCAGCTGCCTCAATACCAGGCACACAATCTAAACACAATGCTTAGGCTGAAGCATAGGAGAAATAAAAGCAGCCCCTGTCATCAAAGAATCCCATCCCACTTCAGCAGAATGAAACGACCAGCTTAGATTAACCTTCAACCTGACGTTAAAATCAAGTTCACCCCAACTGTTTGTTTCTTATTTCCCAAAGAATGGTCAAGCTTCAGCAGAACTTCACAAGAACTAGACTTTGAACAAATTCATTCTATATTGCACACACAGAACCATGTTACATTATTCTTAAGGTTGTACGTTCAAAGCACATGAAAGCTGGGAATACCACAGTTGGAATTTTCTGTGCAACTTTATTTCTACTTCTTCAAAAACGTGCTATGATGTAACATGACTATGCATCCTTTTTTTCCATGCAATCTTGCAGCTTTCAGTGTACCGGATGCCCAACACTCACATATTCAGCAGCTAATAAATATTTTGTATTTCCCTGTTGTTCATCCTGTACTAATCAAATGTTGCTCAAAGTCAGCTCCAAATGAAGAATTAATAATCTTCTCCTAGACAGTCTAGATTGCTCATCCCAAAACATCCAAATGCTTCACAAGAATGAAGTCACAACAAGAGCTGGACAAAATCCAGGATTTCTGCCTCATGGAAAATTTTACTGTTTCCAATTGGTTTCATTGTGCTTTGAAATGAAAACACACTTTTGAAATGTCTGTAATCTCAGAATTGAAATAACGAATTTTACAGTTCTGCCAGGGGTAAAATACAACTCCCCAGGGCAGCATTCAGCTGCTCTAACACTGAGGCTGGCTGTAATCACCTGCTTGTTCAGTATGTGCCTGTAACTTCCAGCAAAAAAGCTTTGAGTGAGGCACGAACTGCATGAAAAAAATAGGATGTGATCATGCCGCTGAGGACTTTGCTGATAGTAATACGCAGAATGCCATTTATAGCAACTTTTAAATTAATTTCCTGAAGTTTTCTTTTTAAACACACTAAAAGTAATAGATTCTATCATATTGTGTTATGTTAAAACTGGAACGGCTCATTTGCAAAGCAGGGATGTTTGGATCCACCACAAAAATCTTTGCCACTCGAGGTAATGAAGTAGCTGACGGCAATAGCAGGCTGTCACTGTACACATAGCCCAGCATGAGCAAGTCTGGAAATTAACTGAAACACCGAAAGAAAGGGCGAGGACGTGGAATTCTCCTTTGCCATTGCTGGCAACGGCAAACTGGAGAAGTGAAGGTACATTCTGCTCTGCTCCAAGTTCTGGAGGTCTGTTCTCTAATGCAA